TAAGGCAATCAATGAGAATCTTATGGTCAACTGTGCCAATTGCTGTGGTAAGATCTAAAAGTAACAGAACAACACAACTTCCAGAATCAGCACCACGTAGAATATCATTAGTAACCCTCAAAAGAGCTGACTCTGTACTATGGCCGGCTCTAAACCCTGACTGCAATCTATCCGAAATGTTGTTCTTCACCAAAAAATCATTAAGCTGTGCATACTATGGGAAGTGTTCCTGGTTCCGGTTGACCTAATTAATGCAGCCTAAAAATCCTTTAACGGATTTGAATATTAGAAAAGTATTAGTGTATGTGTAAGCCAGGTCATTAAGCTGTACATACACAATCTTCTCCAGTATCTTTGAAATAAAAGGCAATTTTGAAATGGGATGAAAATTATTCATGTCAGAGGAGTCTAAACCAGCTTTTTAAAGAAGGGGCTGGATAACTGCATGTTTAAAACTAGGTGGAACAACCCCAAATGTCAGGCTACTATTCATAATAGTTAAATGCATGTACCAATAGAATTAACCACCTCGTTAAATAAAAGAGAAGGAATCACATCACAGGGAGACCTAGTGGGCTTCATGTGCGCAATTATTTCTTGTTGCTGTGGAAGAGAGACAGGCGTAAAACAAGTCAATTGATTTGGAAGAACAAAATCATTAGTAACAGATGAAATCTGGGATCTAATTCCAGCAGAGAAACAGACTAATATTAGCGTAGATGCCATTCTTCTAACGATGTAGCAAGTACATCGGGTGTTATGGGAAGTGTTCCCGGTTCCGGTTGACCTAATTAATGCAGCCTAAAAATCCTTTAACGGATTTGAATATTAGAAGCGTATTAGTGTATGTGTAAGCCAGGTCATTAAGCTGTACATACACAATCTTCTCCAGTATCCTTGAAATAAAAGGCAATTTTGAAATGGGATGAAAATTATTCATGTCAGAGGAGTCTAAACCAGCTTTTTAAAGAAGGGGCTGGATAACTGCATGTTTAAAACTAGGTGGAACAACCCCAAATGTCAGGCTACTATTCATAATAGTTAAATGCATGTACCAATAGAATTAACCACCTCTTTAAATAAAAGAGAAGGAATCACATCACAGGGAGACCTAGTGGGCTTCATGTGCGCAATTATTTCGTTGAGCTGTGGAAGAGAGACAGGCGTAAAACAAGTCAATTGATTTGGAAGAACAAAATCATTAGTAACAGATGAAATCTGGGATCTAATTCCAGCAGTCATATCAATGAAAAATTTAAAAAACGTTTCACGTGTCAACAGAAGGAGAGAGTAATGGCATAACAACAGGATGGAATACAGTGTTTACTGTAGAAAAAACAACCAAATTTAGCTTTTAGGTGACCAATTGTCTGTAAAATCAGTTTAAAAAAATGTTTGGGATAAAAACACATGCAGATTAGATGCTGAAATACTTATGATATGGTCATATAGGGGACTGTGGTTAAATGTTGTTTACCAATTAAATCCGGCTGATTTCAGTGGCATATGCTCTCTTCAGTGCCCAGACTGATCTTTTGTGCATGTGAAGAAAGGAAGGCCTGCTTGTTGTTGTTCATTAGCCTTTGGGGGAAGGGGTAGAGAAAGCCACCTCCAACCACCCATCACTGACAAGAGGTCAAAATAAATCTCCTCTCATCAGCATAAACACAAACAAACAAACAAACAAACAAACAAACAGAAAGCACTTTCTGTTTGCTAATTACTCTTGCTCATGGTTACTTATGGTTAGTGATATGAACAATTCTTTAACCCTTAAACTTTATAGTGTAACTCATCCTGTATGGTTTGTCTTCGAATTGTGCAGTAGGTTGAGGAGAGATGTGTTATTATTTTTCTAAGCAATCGGACAAGCAAATAAATAAACAAACAAACAAACAAACTCACAGAGTTACATGAAAGGAGGGGAGCCAAGCAATATCTAGGGATCAAAATATCAGAGAGACTTAAGAGTGGGCTCTTTTGACTTGGGCCAGTAAACAACTAGCCCAAACACCCTAGTAGCAACGATACAAAATGTCCTAGAAACCACAAAGCATTGCCTGGCATCCACCCTAGCAGTTTGGTATACCTAATATTTTCTTCAAAAAATTAAAAAAACTCTTTTCATTTGTAGACATACATGCTTGCAGCAAGTTATTTTCAGATGGAAGTCTAAATATAAATAAACTCACATTATTAAATAGTATCTGTCTTTGCATAAATGTGTATTATTTCCTTAAACAAGCACAGTAACAAAGAGAGGGGTTTGTTGTCACAGTGGGTGTCAAACACTGAGTGGAACTGAGCAAAGGTCACTTATTGCAAAATGTTTTGTGTCTGTTCCTTAAAGGATGAGTATAAATCACAGATGGTTCAAATGACGTGTTGTTTTCATTTTGTTTGTAGGTGATCTTTATCCAGCTCTGTCTAATGCTGCTGTTAATCTGTCTGTGTGTGTCATAATAAAGCAGTTTGAGGAGCCGCTCTGATGTCCTGTCATCGCTCACAGGAGATAATTAATAATCAGTAAATATATAGGTATATATATTATATTTATAGGTATATATATATATATATATAGAGAGAGAGATAAAGGTAATAATCAGTCTAAAATGAGTATATAGAGTGAGCAAGATCTTAAAACTGATCCTATGAAAAAGACTTTAAAGCTTGAAAACAATATTTGATATTTAAATTCTAATTGTACATATAACAACATAAAACTCTACAAAAGGTCAGAATTTATAGCCCTTGGAAACTGCTCGCCTGGTTACACATAGCTTCTGTGTTTGTAAGAAGACACAGAAGTGTAAAGAAATGTGTGCTATGTGTACTGGAAGAGGCCAGCTTACAGTCTATTGTTCGGAATGAAATATTCTGACATTTGTGTACTATATTCTCAATGTCTATATAGTGTAGGGGTCTTGCGTTGTATATGTTTCTTATTGATTTACAAACATATTGCTGTAATATATAAAATTGAACAATTATGTTACTTACAAGTTTTTCATTTCTCCTAAATTGGTTAAGATGAAAAATTTGTAGGACACAGTTTTGGCTAAGGTCTATACATTTCGTGAAAATCCAGACAGTGCATTACTGTTAATGAAGGCACGTTAAGATTAAAAAATAAAAAAATACACTCGCGTATAAATGTACCCTAAAGATCCAAAGGCGATTAAGAGCCCAGAGCGCCCTCTGGCGTTATTAAGTCAAATTTATCTTGCTGTATCCTATATCTAGAGTTTTGGATTAGACTGAAGTAAGCACAATAAACTAAAAAAATATATATTTTCAGTATTTCACATATAACTTATAATCTATTTTTTCATATACATTACCCTTAAGACATCAAATGTTGTTGTTATAGCATAGGCTATCTGACAATTCATTAAAGATTTAATTTTTTTTTTTTTGACATATTTGTCAACTATTGAAATTTTTAACCCAAAAGTTGGGTTAGTCCATATTTGACCCAAAGTTGGGTTGAAACAACCCAGCATTTTTTAGAGTGCAGTATCTTTATTTAAAGTTGCAGAATTTTGTTTATATACATCCATATAACTTGTCCTTAAAAACACAGTATGATTTAATGAAAACAGGTGGACAAAGTTTCAAACCAAAATTAATATATAACTAGAGTGTGTGAGTTTGCTGATGTCACGTGTATAATTTTACCAATGTGAAAAGTGTAGCACTGCATCAAAATTACCTTTTAAATCTGCTAAACAGATACATTTTATTCACATGCTACATATACTGATCACAATTATTTGTTTATTTCATCAATGCTTACAGAAAAGGAAATCTAATATTAAGGACATAGCACCAAAATGTAATCTTACACTCCACAGAAATCAACAAAGTGGAAAACGTTTGTAAACCTCCTACCTTTATAACTACAATTGAGTTTGCTGATGTCACGTGTATAATTTTACCAATGTGAAAAGTGTAGCACTGCATCAAAATTACCTTTTAAATCTGCTAAACAGATACATTTTATTCACATGCTACATATACTGATCACAATTATTTGTTTATTTCATCAATGCTTACAGAAAAGGAAATCTAATATTAAGGACATAGCACCAAAATGTAATCGTACACTCCACAGAAATCAACAAAGTGGAAAACGTTTGTAAACCTCCCACCTTTATAACTACAATACATTCTTAACATTTAACATTCTTAAAAGTGGAATCAAGAGCATTAAAGAGGGAATTTGTACTTAGATGGCACTCCCCTATATAAACAACATGAAACCAAAATCAAGGTGAAATCATGGCCAGATCTAACGAGCTCTCGTGGGCCCTCAGAGGATAGACTGGTGAATGCAAAAGGTCTAATTTCAATTTCAGAGACACTTGAGCTCAGTTGCTCCACTGATTAGAAAAGGAGAAAGCGTCAAGCTCATTCTTACCAGGGAACAAGTTAGACAGTCAGAATATTCATCCAGTACCTTCTCCTTGATGATCAGGATCATGCCAGCGTTTGGTGGCATCTGTAATTATAATTATACTACAAAACTATAATATTTAGGCCTTACAGATGCATCTTCTTGTTCTGAGCTAAATGCTATAAATATAATATTAAACCATTACACACAGCCAAATTTAGCTTTTAGGTGCTTTTAAAATGTAGCCTTTAAACCATTATATACAGCCATATTTATCAAGCCCATTCTTACCAGGGCAGGTCATTTCAGGTCTCATATAGGCAATACAGACTTTTAAAAGTCTTTAATTAATTGCTCAATTGTTTGTTAAATTAGATCTTATGCAAACTATTGGACAGAACTAATGCCTACAATTAAAATAGGTCTACATAATTCATTTAGACGCTTTAATCGAAAGGGATTTACGAATGAGGATTACAACAAGCGATTCATCTTAAAAACATTCACCAATGAATCGAATATAGGCAGCAACATTTGAACACATTCCCCGATGAAGCGTTGACGGGAGTGGCCGTGTTTGTCAGGACCGGACCGTTGGGGCGTTCTCACGAGCAGCCGGGCACAGCGATTGGACAGCTCGCGACAGATACACACATGCACGTGTGAGATGTTTTTAGCTTTCAAACTGAATTTAGGCGGGTTTTCGGTTTTCCTCCGTAGTATCCACCGCAGCCTGTCTCGAGATCAGACGGCTCTTTGGAATGATTCAGTTGCATTAGATTCGTAACCTGTTAAACTGCAAAGTGTTCTGATGGGGAATAACGGATCTTCCGCGGTGTTTTCCGCTCAAGGGACAATTCACAAGACAAGAGTTCAGTGGCAAAGCAGCAGTCTGCAAGGTGGGTGTCTCGCTTATTTTGTGACTATACTAGTAATATAGTGTATGGTAAAGTATTTCAACAGTTCAAAATGTCACAGCATTAGGCACAGAACATAAAAACGAGTGGCATCTTAAACAAATGCTTTTTTGAGCTTCTCTCGGAAAGAACTTTTTTCTGAGCCGTTTATGCCATGGCTGGTGCCAAGGTGAGTTTTAGTGGATGTGTGACGTCAGTTCCCCTCACAGGTATCCTAGCAGAGTAACTACGAGTGTAGTTCATTATCACACTACCTATGAACATGATCCACTAACGCAGTGGTTCTCAACTCTGGTCCTGGAGGCACCCCAACACTGCACATTTTGTATGTCTCCTTAATCAAACACACCTGATTCAGGTCATCAGCTCATTAGTAGAGACTCCAAGACCTGAAACTGGTGCGTCAGAGAAAGGAGACATGCAAAATGTGCAGTGTTGGGGTGCCTCCAGGACCAGGGTTGGGAACCACTGCACTAAAGTATCGGTTCCACAAAGTGTCACAAATTTAAACACTATGGGCTGCATCTGGAATGTCTGATTCTTCCCTAGTATAGTAAGTGAAAGTTGAGTAGTAGGCCTATGTCCAAATTCACAGTATTCATAAAAAGTACCCGGATGACCTACTATTTGAACTGATTGTTGGCCATGTGATAACGACAACATGACGAATGTAGTATGTCTGGATTATATTCATATTGCACTTATCATTCATACTATAGAACATAATTTTTAATGGTCGCAAAATACTTAATCAGTTGAAGTGTCTACTTGGAGAGTTTCAGATTTGAGACACAGCCTACATCTCTTGGCAGTATTGGGGAAAGTTACTTTTAAAAGTAATGCATTACAATATTACGGTACTCCATAATAAAATAGTAACTGTTTGCTTTAGTTACTTTTTATGGAAAGTAATGCATTACATTAATTTTTTTGTTACTTTTTGTCACCTGAGCTGGGCTTGTTTATTTATTTTTTATAACACACAACCCAAAAGTTATATTTTTGGCAACTGTAAAGACCAAAGGCCCTCTGGCCCTTTCACACCAAAAGTGAAATTAATAAGCCTCAGGGTGTAAAGTGCCTCTGCACCTCACTCCTAATTTCTCTCAACACGGGGAAAAGAGAGGTGTCAGTGAATAAATGGAAAAAACTAATTAACTTACTTATTAGAAAAATAATATTTTCTTGTAAATTTAAAAGTAATGTGTTACTTTACTAGTTACTTGAAAAAAGTAATCTCATTGCATAACTCACATTACTTGTAATGCTTTTATCATTTTAAATCTAAAAAAACAAAACATAGTTGTGGTCATGGCTGCTGATTAGTCAGTGCATCATTCCAGCAGTGTCCCACCAATAGTTGGCGACAAGTGATTGTCTTAATGAGTGAGTAATTGAATTAATCACTCAAATTATGTTAATTGAATTTGTTAACAGATTTACACAAACATGCTTTGTGCATTGCTTAGGGAAAATTTAGGTTGATTCTAATTTTTGTTGTTGGAAAATCATTTTGGAAAGATGTATTTATTCATAACTTCTTGATGTGTAAAAAAACATTACATTTGCAATTGTGCATACTGCATACGTGATATTACTCAGTTATGAAATTATATAATTCTTTATTATAAATCTGTAACACTCCAAAGAGAAAGGAAAAATTGAAATGGCATCATATGACCCCTTTAAGGACTACAAAAGTGGTCTTTGTTTCTACTGCAGAATTGTGACATTATCATAGATTATACAGTATAATCTATAACCTCTTTCAAACTCTATTAATTTGTTGAATATATTACTGTCATTCTGTTATAATACTTCATAATATTGTTGGGTGGTCATTTATTAGGCCTACATCTTTTGGAAAATTCCATGAGAAAGGACACTGTTCCAGTAATTTTCAGAGTTAAACAGGAAATGTAACTCCCACGATGAGAGAGGGGTGGCCACTGGCTTCTGAGCTATGCAGGGTTGGTAAGGTTGTGGCTTTCCCAGGACCTTGATGAGAACAGTAGAGAGGGAACCATTATTTCTCGTACAGAAATGAGGACTCTGAGAAACATTTGGTCTGACTAACATTATATAAAAGTTTAAATTAAATGTGAATTAAGTCTTTCAATAAAGAGTCTTAGAAATTAAGTATCAATTGTCTAAGAACTTCAGAGTTTGACGTGCTTGATGGTGGCCTGGTGGATCTTTTAGCATACTATTATACACAACCATTAGACGGCAGTTTGCACTTAATGGCATAATCTTACCAGCAGATGGCAGCTCATATCTAACTGAGTAATGAACTATTTATTTAATTTTTTATTTGTTGGATATACTGTAATGAGAACAATAATAACAGAATGTAATTTATTTAACTAATAGCAACAATTGACAGTTTAACATAAAAGTAGACTAATGGTGTTATTTTGAAATCTTTTCTTTATACATCTTTTTAGTGATCTTCACTTTGAATGAGTGACAACTAATGCAGCTCTATTGCAGCCTTTATTAAATACTTTCATGTTTACTTAGTTTTCTCCAAGTAGTCATCATTTAAAGTGTTTTCCTGCTGACAACCACAGATGCAGGGCTCTAACATGTGTTTTTATGTATGTTTCTCATTTGTTTAACTGAGTAACAACTCTTTGAACATACATACATTGTTTAAGGCACTTGGCTTCAAGTCAGATGAGTAGTTTGTCTGCATGCCATCATCCATTGAGTCACAGGCCAGCAGCCAAATGCAAAAAAAACAAAAAGTGTGTTGTAAAATAAAAATGTTTAAAGAGTATCAGATTTATTGTATACCTTAAAGGGAGAGGATATACCTTAAGGGAGGATATATATTTTCATTCTTCAAATAAACAAATCAAACAAATCATCCAAGACATAGGCCAGCTATCCTTTATTGGCCCTGGTTTGTAGCAGCTATTCATTCTTTGATAGTAAGGCAAACAGGCACAAAGTTTAGTGAGGATTAACACATCCTAGAGCAGGGGTCATGAAAGTGTCATACAGTGAGTGATAAAGACCAGACATTGGTGGTAGACAACACAAACATGCGCATAAAGAGGAAACGACGCAGTGACAGCTAGCAGCATGTAATAATCTATATAAGTAAAGTGTCAAAAGAAAGTGCCTCCCTGCATGCACTACAGACCTTACAGAGATTTAACCCATTATGCTGGTCTTTTCAGCAGGGCCTTCAAATAATTTTTTATTTTATTTATTTTTTTTTACAATTTTCTGCAATTTTCTTTTCAGTTCCAAACAAGAAAGTTGCTGTAAAAAGTTCAGTTCACACTGATAGCGATTTGCATGGGCAAAACAAATGGAAGGGTTGGTGACTTCAAGCATCATTAGCGAACACCAATGGTGATTCAACACAGTTGAGTACGTCATTTTGAAACTTCATGTAAATGCAAAGGGATGCAAATTGTGGGAGTGAAGACAGTGGATTTGTGATGTATCAAATGATGATACAGCTGGGTACAGAACAGAAGTGGAGTAGTAACACCTGTTTGAAACCAACAGTTAATCAATTTTAGGATGACACAAACCTCAGTAAATAAAGGTAGTCGAATAGCTGTTAAAAAAGGAATGCACTTACAAAAATATAGAGCAAATACCTTAATTCAGTGGCCATACAGTACAAAAAGGACCACGTTTTAATGTCAATTAAATGTCAAAGATTGTTGCATTCAAACGTGTCTTTAAAATGAACATGAAATGACATATGCAACCTGTTTTAATTCTGTGATGGGATGGGTGGGATTTTATCCATGAGAAATTGATTAGATTTCTGGTGAAACAAGTGGGTGATCCTTACCAGAATAGAGACAGACATAAATGTTGGTATAATTTCTGTTAATTAGGCCATATTGACCGGGACTAGGATATACAGACTAAAGATCAAGTTTAGCCTCAACACCACCTGAATCTATTCAGTAGTAGCTCTTTTTTACACATCTGTTGTCAGTTGCTATTATTGTTGCAACCATATTACATTAACATGATTTCAAACGGTCAGTGTTTGGCCTTTTGAAATGGTCCACTTAGTGTGTGTGTATATATGTATATACAGCTGAGGATAGTTTCCAGTGAAGAGCTTGGGAATATGCGCATTCTTGGGGTGCCTGTCTCAAACATGTATTAAGAAAGTAAATAGGGTCAAATTTATGTTGACATTAACTGACTTTTAACTGTCCTCACAATCCTCATCTAAAACAGAGCGAGAAAACAGTCATTATATGTTGAGTTTAATATAATTTAGGACAACTGGTTTGTCCTAGTTAGTGAATACAAAGTCAAGCATATGGCAGCACGGCTTACTGTGCTTGAAGCTTGTTGTTAATAATGTAAAACGATCATTTGGGATATGAGATACCCTTACACAGAGGAAGTTCCCATATTTACAGCTTCTTAAAATAGCCCCTGTACACAGCACTTGGCGTGTGTCCGTGTCCCTTTCAGAAGCGAGGGGCCCAGATTTTTTCCCACACATGGATGAAACCGATGTCATGGTTTGCAGTGAAAAGCTGAAGGGAAGAAGGGAAAAAGGGCATGTATGCACGGATGTTGGGCCTGGGTAGAGGAGCAAAAGGTGACCAGAAACTATAAAACCAAAGGCTCATTTCCCTTCATCATTTTACCAGTCTGCTGGGGAAACATTACGTAATGCTAAAGAATCTGTGACCTGCTATTAACACCTTGTCAGCCATTCATCTAGGCAGTTTTGTTGGGGGAAATTGTGTTGCTGTTTCTCAGTGGGTGGACTCACATTCATACCTGTTGATGTAGTCTCCCTATGATACTCTCTTTTTTTATTCTCTATATTTCACTTACATGTGCTGTAATACATTGGGCTTGGCAGTATGATAGTAGAAATTTATCACTTGGTAGAAATGTTGCTATTCCATTTTACTGCAACTGGACTGATTTATGTTGTTTACATGTGTGAGCAACAAAACACAGAGTGGAACGTATCAAAA